AAATGGGTTATACTTTCTTGTGGATGTTTTATAATTTTTTGGGAACTGGACATAATGAGTATTATGTCATGGTAACTCTGTTAATTTACTTCTTTTGCTTTTGGAAATCATTGACTCTTATTTGTTGGAGTTTAGATTTATTTGTTCATGACTTTTCCAAACTATTTTTGTGAAGTGTGTATTCCCTGTTGTGCATGGTCATTGAAAATTCTGTTCGGTCTGTGATCAGCCAGTTGCCTGAAAAAAAATTTTAGTATATGTCTACTTCCTAAAATGGAGGAAAAACAAATAAGCTACTACATTTACTTAAATCCCCTACAAGCCACTTTGTCTGATGGGGATCGAAACAGTGGTAGCCCACCTCTATGCATTCCCCTCAGCAACCAATTGCAGAAATCAGCAATAACCCTGCTATTTAGAGGAAAAGGTCCTTATTGCCTTCCCTGGCTTCAGCAAGCCATGCCAGGAACATATGCAGCAGTCCCCATGGCTCCTTGCAATGATCAAGTGTGGAGAACAGTAGTTATTACTGAGTAGAAGGCTAAAATTTACTAAAATTAGCCAAAATTTATGAGCCTCTTCATCGAACTCTTCCCTTGATACTGCAAGTGTTCAACTAGACACAAAAGTTCCAAAATAGTTACTTCAGACAGTTTCTAATAGTTTAATAGTTATTTAGGTGGAGGGACAGATTCCTGGAGCTTCCCATTCCACCATGTTCTCTGACATTACTCCTGTTTTATTTATTTTGAAGCAAAGTTACTAACTTCATATAAACTTAAAATTGTGTTTTGACCTATAATTTTCTAATTCCCACTTGCACAGTTCTGGCTCACAAATCAAAGAATGGTCTGGCTTGATCACTGGCCATGTTTCTGCCATTAACTTTAAGGTAACTATAGATGGCTAACTGGAGAATGTAGTACTTGCTGGGTTCATCTCTCCTTATGCTAACTAATCAATGTGTAAGCAAGTGTCTAAACCTGTCTCTTAGACACCCCACAAAGAACCACATCCTTGTAGGGCTGAATCTTTGATTCTGGCCAGAACTATTTCCTTACCAGTTCCTGGAGAGTTTCAACCTGAACAAGGTCAGCACCTTGTGAGTCACAAAATATCTGGCTTGATGTCCAATTCTTGATGTCATCGGAAAAATAGAAACACTTTCTCTGGAAACCAATCCAGCTTTCTGGGCACACAGCTTCAAGATATACTGAGGGCTTTTGATTGCAGTTAGTTCTAATTGCTAAAAATAAAAATTACTTACTTTTATAATGCATTGCATAAATTACCAAGTACTAATACATTCTCCAACACTGCTGTTAAGTATTACATGTAGTATCTTCATTTCTCGAATGAGAAATATGGTGCTGAAAATCACTGTATACATTACACAGTAAATGGCAAAACTGAGATTCAAACTAATGCCTTCAGTAGTAGATGAACTCAAAAAGGAGTTATTAATGCCTAAGCTCTCTCTGAGTCACATATCTGTCTACTTGGATTTCAACAATGTTATCTTTTCTTAAAATATCACATACATAAATACCAGCATATGATCAGCCTTGAAGAACAAATACTTCCTCAACTACTCTAGAAGAGTTGATAAAATAAGGGACAGGGTATAGATACCTTATGTGAGTAAAGTTTCTTAAGGTGAAATGGTCTGATATATGCTTGAGTAGTCCCATGAATATTAAAGAATTTGCTGCACCCCAAGCTTCCTTCTACTGAAGAGAATTAGTGAGATTCTCTATATTTTGAAGGCAGCAATACTCCATTGGACAGGGTTTTCAGACCCACTTCTTGTATAATCAGGAGAAATGCTCTCTTCAAGTTGGATCCAGAGTGGTGAAAGTCTCTCCAGATAGTTGTCACTGAGCTGTTAGTAGCGGACTCTTCAGCTTCTATAACGACTTTCTCCCCTCAAATCATCAGCTCGGAAGATGACTGTGGCATACCAGGAAGCTTTGTACTTGTGGCATCATTACTATAATTGCCACCATTATTCTTGAATTTGGCTCTTATGAAATGAGAAACGGCTCCTGACTATGAATAATAACCGATATAATCCAAATGTCAAATCATATAACACCAGAAAAATATGTACTCTAAGGCAGTGGTCCCCAACATTTTTGGCACCAGGGACTGGTTTCATGGAAAACAATTTTTACACAGACTGGGGAACAGGCAGGGATGGTTTTGGGATGATTCAAGTGCATTACATTTATTCTGCACCTGATTTCTATCATTATTACATTGTTAATCTCTCTGCTAATGATAATCTGTATTTGCAGCTGCTCCCCAGCACTAGCATAACCACCTCAAATCATCAGGAATTAGATTCTCTTAAGCAGTGTGCAACCTAGATCCCTTGCATGTACAGTTTACGATAGAGTTCATGATCCTATGAGAATCCAATGCTGCTGCTGATCTGAAAGGAGGCAGAGCTCAGGCAGTGATGTGAGCAATGAGGAGCAGCTGTAAACATAGATGAAGTTTCACTCACTAATCCACTGCTCACCTTCTGCTGTGTGACCCAGTTCCTAATAGGCCATGGACCAACACCGGTCCATGGCCCAGTGGTTGGGGACTGCAGTTCTAAAGCACTCACCACAAGCCAGGTATCAAATTATACCTATTATAGTGTAATTTCTGGGATTAGATCTTAAGGCAGACTGCCTTTCTTCAAATCTATGCATATGTATTGTGCTATCACTTCTCCTATATCAACCAGTTTAAAGAAAAGGGACAAGTAGGGTTTGCTTTATGAATCTGGGCACACCCATGTTAGGTGAATAAATATTTAGGATTGTTAGATCTTCTTGTTGAATTGTTCCCTTCACCATTATGTAATGACCATCTTTTTCTTTCTTTACTTTTGCTGATTTGAAGTCTATGTTATCTGATATGAGAATACCTATACCAATTTTCTTTTGGTTTCCATTTGCATGGAATATTGTCTTCCATACCTTCACCTTGAGTTTGAATGAATCTTTGTGAGTTAGATATGCTTCCTGGAGACAGTAGATACTTGGCTTGTGTTTTTTGGTCTACCCAGCCAGACTATGTTTCTTGAGTGGGGAGTTCAAGCCACTCACATTTATTGAAAGAATTGGTAAGTGGGGTGGATTTTTCTTTATCCTGTTGAGTGGAACTTTATTGTTTTGTTTTATCTCTTGAGCCATTGTGGTATCTGGGCTCTGACCTTTTAGCTTTTGGGTCATTTTACACTGGTGGATGTTTATCATACTGATCCAGGTATGATGCATTTCTGAGTACTTTCTGCAGGGCAGATCTGATCTTGACAAATTCCCTCAGTGTTTGCTTGTCTGAGAAAGACTTTATTTCTCCATCATGTAAGAAACTTAGTTTTGCAGGATATAAGATTCTAGGCTGGGCATTATTCTGTTTGAGATGACTGAGAATGGGGCCCCAATCCCCTCTGGTTTGTGAGATCTCAGTTGAGAAGTCTGCAGTTAGTCTGTTGGGTTTTCCCTTGTAAGTTACCTGCTGCTTTTGCCTTATGGCTCCCAGGAGGGCCTCTTTCATGTTTACTTTGGTCAGTCCAATGACTACATGTCATGGTGATTGTTTCTTCTTAATGAATCTCCCAGTTGTCCTCTGAGCTTCTTGAACCTGGATATCTAGATTTCTATCAAGGCCATCATCATATTGCCATTTGATCTTGACAAAAGCTGACAAAAACACACTGGAAAAAAGAATCCCTATTCAATAATGGTGCAGGAATAATTGGATAGCCACATGTAGAAGACTGAAACAGGATTTGCACCTCTCACCGCTCACAAAAATTAATTCACGATGGATAACAGACTTAAACCTAAGCCATGAAACTATGAAAATTCTAGAAGAAAAGGTCAAAAACACTCTTATAGATATCAACTTACACAGAGAATTTATGAAGACCCCTAAAGCAATCACAGCAACAACAAAAATGAATAAATGGGACCTGATCAGATTAAGAAGCTTCTGCAAGGAAGGAAGGAAACCTTTCCTTCCTTAGGCAGGAAATAATCAATAGAGTGAATAAAACACCCACAGAATGGGAGAAGACATTCACATGCTATACATCTGACAAAGGTCTAATGACCAGAATCTACAAAGAACTCAAGTGAATCAGCAGGAAAACATCAAACAACCCATTAAAAAGCGGACAAAAGATATGAACAGAAGCTTCTCAACAGAAGATAGACTAATGGCCAATAAGCATATGAAAAACTGTTCAATGATGCTAATCATCAAGGAAATGCAAATCAAAACCAAAATAAGATATCACTTAATTCCAGTGAGAATGGCTTTTATCAAAAAGTACCAAAACAACAGATGCTGGCATGGACGTAAAGAGAAAAGAACAGTTATACACTGTTGGTAGAACTGGAAAGTAGTTCAACCTCTATGGAAGATACTATGGAGATATTTCAAAGAACTAAAAGTAGACCTACCATTTGATCTACAAATCCCATTGCTAGGTTTGTTTTTTCATTGAACATTTGTTTATTGAAGATTTACAGCTGTTTATATGTTAATGTCCTTTGAATATAAAATTTGTGTTTTTTAAATTTATTTATTTATCTTTTAAATTTCAGACTGTCACAGGGCTACAAACATTTAGGTTACATATATTGCATTTGCACCACCCGAGTCACAGCTACAAGCATGTCCATGCCCCAGACAGTGTGCACTGCACTCATTGGTTGTGAATTTACCCATCCCCTCTGCCCCCCACCTGCCCAACACCTGATGAATGTTGCTAATTTTCCTGAGTTCTATATAGATTCTAGTTATCAGCCTTTTATCAGATGTATAGCATGCAAATATTTTCTCCCATTCTTTAGGTTGTCTATTCAACTCTGGTGATATTATGTAACTAATTTGTTGATTTACATATGTTGAATCATCCCCACATCCTTGAAATGAATCCTACTTGATCATAATAAATGTTCTTTTTGTAGTTGGTGTATTTCTAATGTATCTTCATGGTGCCATATTTGGTTTGCTAGTATTTTGTTGAGGATTTTTGCATCAACAATTGTAAGAAATATTGGCTTATAATTTTCTTTCTTTGTTGTGTTTTTGTCCTGTTTTGGTTTCAAGGTAATACTGAACTTATAGAATGAGCTTGGAAATATCTCGTTCTCCTGAAGCTTTTGGAACAGTTTGAGTAGGATTGGTACTAGTCCTTCTTTAAATGTTTCACACAATGTATAAGTAAAGCCATCAGGTCCTGGGCTTTGCTTTGTTTGATGTGAGACTTTTTATTATTGCTTCTATCTCATTATTTGTTATTGGTGTATTCAGGTTTTGGATTGCTTTATGGTTCAATCTTGGCAGCTTGTGTACTTTTAGGAATTTATCCATTTCTTCTAGGTTTTTCAATTTTTTGGCATATAGTTGCTCATAATAGTCTCTAATGATCCTTTCAATTTCTGTGGTATCAGTTGTAATGTCTCCTTTTCCATCTCTGATTTTATTTGTTTGGATCTTCTCTCTTTTTTTCTTAGTTAGTCTGGCTAACAGTTTGTTGATTTTTTTTTATCTTTTCAAAAATTCCAAAACCAACTTTTCAATTTGTTGATGTGAATTATCCCTTTTTCTAGCGTATCCATGCTGTAGACACTCCCCTCCTGTTGTCACTTAGTAGCTATTTTGGTTACCAGATTGACTGTTGCATAGCACAATGTTTGTGTTCAAGTAACCCTTGTATTACTTAGCAAAGGCCCCAAAGCACAAGAGTATTGCTACTAGCAATTCAGACATGCCAAAGGCAAGCCATAAAACACTAACTTTTAGTGAAAAAATGAAAGTTCTCAACTTAATAGGGGAAGAAAAAAAAGTATGCTGAGGTATGCTAAGATCTAAGGTAAAAAAACAAATCTACCTGTGAAATTCTGAGGAAGGAAAAAAATTGTGCTAGTTTTGGTGTTGCACCTCTAACTTCAAGTTATGGTCACAGTGCTTAGTTAAGATTTAAAAGGCATTAAATTTGTGTGTAGAAGACATGAACAGAAACATGATCTGACCAATGGTAATAGAGTTTGGTAATACCTACAGTTTCAGGCAACCATAGGGGGTTTTAAAATGTATCACCCACAGATAAGGGGGGACTACTATATTCAAGTATGAACACAATTTTATAAATTACAAAGCCTTCTACAGCTCTATTTTGACATGCCCTCCATCAAGACCTACATACAATGTCTTTCAAGTAATGTAATTAAAAATGAA